ATGGCACATGACGCATTGAGCACGACTACCGAGCAGGAGCCGAGGAACATGTTCCTTCGAATGATAAAAAAGATACGGTCGGCTCTTCAGAGGACGCGTCACGCAAACCGTGATGGACGGGAGGAGCGACCAATTGAGTTTGGGCGGCGACGTCGACGAGGACACACGGGGGAGGGATCAAGCTATGCGCATGATGAAGCTGGCGGCTCACAGCAGACTCAGGCCGAATGTTCACAGGAGGTTCGAGACGACGCGGATATCATGCACTCCCAACTTCACACACAACCGGACGAGGAACTTATCCGAGCTCACGTCGAAGGTGATCGAGGAAGGGGGAGAGGAAGAAGAGGGAGAGGGAGAGGGAGAGGAAGAGGGAGGGGAAAGGGCATTGTTGAAATTTGTTAAGTTTCGATGCACTTGATAGGATGTTTGCGTTTGAGTTGCAATTTGGACTTGATATGTTGTTTGTGTTGCGATGGATTTGATATAATGTTAAGTTTGCGAATATGAATTGTACGTATTATATTTGTGTTTGTGATTGTATTGTGAATTGATAACAGGAGTATGATTGCATTTTAGCATGTATTATTTGTGATTACATTTTGTACTACAGGAAGTATGAGTTTTCCAAGTAAATGTGGGCTGGAATGGGGTCTGCAAAATTGTCGGGGTTGGGAACCCTGACCATTTCGTCAGCCCAGCTATCGCTGGGCTCTGCTAAATGGTCGGGGTTGGGAACCCCGACCATTTCGAAATAGGACTCTTACGAAATGGTCGGGGTTCCCAACCCCGACCATTTTGTCCGTGGTTTAGCCCAGCTATCGCTGGGCTCTGCTAAATGGTCGGGGTTGGGAACCCCGACCATTTCGAAATAGGCCCGACCATTTTGTCCGTGGTTTAGCCCAGCTATCGCTGGGCTCTGCTAAATGGTCGGGGTTAGGAACCCCGACCATTTCGAAATAGGTCTCCTACGAAATGGTCGGGGTTCCCAACCCCGACCATTTAGTTAACCTCTTAACGGGCGATGGACTAAACAGTCGGGGTTGGCAACCCCGACTGTTTACGAAGCCGATTAAAAATTAATCGACCCGCTTTCTCGCCACGGCGCTGACGTGGCGAGAAACCGGGTCGATTTCACGAATTAAAACTTGCTACAGTCGATTTCGGTAATAAAAAGTGAAAAAGTGGCTACAGTGAAAATTTGTTCTATAATCCTACTTATGTTATATTTCTATTTGCAATAGACAAATTTTCTGCTAGTGTGAAATGGTGTTTTTAGTGATGTTCAACATAATATAGAAATCCTGCCGCAGTTTCTCTCCGTCATTAAAAATAGAATGAAAAAATAATAAATTGAGTAAGTGGGCCCTCTCTAAATATTCCTAATTGAAAACAGTCAGATTGCATAAAAATTATACGAAAATGCTATTTATCTCGTAAAGCCCATCACGCACGCAACGCGCAAGAGAGAAATAGGGGGAGTGGGACCCATAGCTGATTTTTTTTGGGTCCCACCCCTCTGTTTCTCTCTCTTACACGCTGGTGCGTGATGAGCTTCGCAAGAAAAATAGTAACGCTGATTTTTTTTTCTGTGTATCCCACCCGTTTTCTCTCTCTTACGCGCTGCGTGCGTGATAGGCTTTGCGATATGCGAGACAAATAGCAGCGCCCAAATTTATATATGTTGCACTTGCCCCGCACGATCTTTTCCCAATCCTAATCCTTTCTGGCGTACAACAGCTAATCATTTCATTGCTGCTCGCTAGTTTTCAATTCCGCATAATTCCCGAATATCCATCGAAGCCCTGGTTTTAATCGTTGACGTTGAGGCGGGGCCCACTCCTTCTCCCTCCATGAAAACGGACCCAGTCGACGAAAAGCAGCGACCCTCTCGACTTTCGAAAGGAAACGGAAAGAAAGGAAGAGAGAGAAAAATAAAAAAAATTACAACTTCATCAAAATCCAATGGAGAAAATCGAAGCCACGACGAACCCAGGGCCGGTCACGTGCGCCGCATGGATCCGGAGGCCGGAGAACCGCCTTCTGGTGATCTACGGGAGGTCGAAGAACTTCGCGTCTCCGTCCATGATCGAGATCTTCTCTTTCGATGCCAAGACCTCCTCAATCTCCGATGATCCCATGGTTTTTTCTCTTCTATCGCTTGATTTTCTGTTAGGGTTTAGTTGCTGAGCTCTTTGATTACTGGTTTTTTTTTTGGTGCAGGCTAGGTTTGCGATTAGCGGGGACCCGCTAGGGTTTGCGGTTCATCCCAGTGGGGATGAATTTGTTTGTTCTACTGCTAATGGATGCAAGTGAGTATTGAATTTACTTTAAAAGATGGAATTTCGCGTGTTAATTTATTGAAATTGAAGTGATTTTGGTTTTGGTACAACAATTTGGGGGTTTAGGGTTTCTGGGTGTAGGAAAGTAGATATCTCAGTAGAAAGTGTAAGGCTGTGAAGTTTTCTGCATGCTGAACTTAAAGTGAGGTTTGACATATGAAACTAAGCTGGCTTGTAAAAGTGGAAGTTTGGATTTGTATGGTAGACATACAAGCAGAAGAATCAATGACTTCAAAGTAGATTGAAACTTTTATTGGCAAGTTAAATATTTTAGAAGTTCCTTCTGTTTTCCCCCTTATAACTTTAAATTTAAAATCACTGCATAGATATCAACATTCTTTTTAGCTGACACCAGCAGAGATGTTTCTCTTTACTGATAAACTGAAGATATTCAAGTATTTCAGCATCGCCATGTACTAGTAAGGAAATAAACTTTAGAGCTGCCCCAAGATATGTTTCAAATTGACTCATGTACTTCTTTTTATCAATGAAGATGCATGAGACAACTCTCAGTTAGTTCCAAGTACCAAACGTGCTCTTAAAATTTATTCGAGTGTGAGACCGGGTGAAGGATGGGATCAACATAAAACAATGTGTGGCTCTTTACAAGAGCAGTCAAAATTATGTTGACTTGTTTTATTAGATAAATCGACAAATTCATTTCTGTAAGAAAGTTTTTGTCATTCTTAAGACTAATTCCAGCAAATGTTATACGATATCAAAAAATTTGGACAGAAATAGAAAAGGAGCACTATGGCACGTATAGGATACACTAGATCTGTAGATGACTGAATATGTTTATGAAACATATACAAAATGAAGCAAAGTTACCACAAGAGGAGGGCTATTCTCACTGTAGGCAAAGTGCAGAATGGTAGAAGTTTGTCTGAGCTAGTTTATGTAAGGTTATAGAGAGAGATCCTTTCTTTCTGATGCCAGATAGACGATATCCTCTCTATGACATATGGTTTTTGGTTTGGAAATAGTTTTTTTTTCCTTATTCCTGTTGAGGATCTTATCTCTATTCGAAAGTTTTCCTAAAACAAAAGAACAAGATAAAATAAACTTAATAACTAGAACAGAAAGAGCAGCCTAAATCAGTAGAAGAACTTGTTATACAATTAGTTATTTGGCTCACGTATTTTTTCCTATTTTCGTTTTTTTATGAATTTACTTGGCTCCTAGCTTGTTCAGATATCATGTATTTGCAATTCTCAAAGCACTTAAGAATAAATATGTCTTTCTATCTTCTCTACGAAACCACTAACAAGTTTGTTTGTATAAGTCTTCTTTCTGTTCTTTTTCTATATATGCAAGCACATTTCTTTGTGGACATTATTAGAGGTGATATAGCTGCTGGTGGCTTGAACCTGATATGAATTTATTTGAAGCATTAATTCTCTAAGCCTTCCCACACGCCAGAAACTTATAATTGAAAATTCATGACTAGGGAGCGGATACACTAAATTTGAGACATTTATAGTCTAGTACTACACGAAATGTACACCTTGGCAACTAATCCTTAAAACATAGGATACAGGAAATGTCACGAATACTCACAGCAAACCTCCAATTAGTAGACCATATTACCAACCTAAAACCTCAACAAATAAAATCTTTAGATTCTAAAATCAAATTATAAACAGAAAAATTATCCCAAAAAAATCTGATACTTGACCTGGCATATTCTTTTATGCCTATTGCATGTTAGGAAGATGATCATCACATGTTAAACTAACATTCTACGTCAGAAGTATTCATAAGTTTAGTTTATCTGTACATAATTCTGCATTTTGACACACGGATTGGATTTCACATGTCCTATATGCTTTTGCTTAATTATCTTCTACAGCTGAATTTGTTTCCTACACGTCCTGACATGTGACTTATACCACACTGACGGGTTATGAAACTGAAGGGTTTGCTTTCAGGATTTATTTAAGATGTATGCATCAGAAGCCATTTAACCTACAAGGAAACCAAATAATATGGAGACAATGGATTGAAAAGATATAATTAATTCCTTGGAAACAAAAGTTTTCTAGAAGAAATGAAACTTATTCGAACTTCAAATTACTGGTTGGTCAGGTATACCTTATTTTAACATTCTGGTGATGGAATGACATGATTGTACTGAATATGTATAAATTTAATTGTCAGTATAAAATAATTACTTCCGTTAAATACAAACCAGTACTGTTCATATCCAATGTGTCAGTATGTTTTCTGTAACTGTTTGTTATTTGGAAAAGAACTTTCCTTTTACTGTAATATTCTTAGGGACTAGTTTCTATGTTTATATCTATATTATTATTCCATCATATAATAAGATTCTCAGATTGAGTCTTTCAAAGTGCAGATTGTTTGAGTTAAATTGTCTAGATTCAGATATGAAGCTTATGGCAAGAGATATTGTGCCTCTTCAATCCATTGGTCTTCAAAAATGTCTAGCTTTTAGCACTGATGGATCTAGATTGGCTACAGGTGGGGAGGTATGATGTCACTTAGTCAAATTCTTATTTATTTATTTGGTTATCTATGCCGTATGTATGAGAAGATTCATTTTAAGCTAATTACTTAATGAAAAAAGTTATTACAAACTCAGGATTTTATAATCAACGTTCATTACCTCCACTCATCTTCAAGAAAATGAACAACTTCATTCTTCTCATAATTATCATTTAATGTGAGAATTGCTTTTAAAGATGTGCTACTTTTTTTTTTGAGGAATAAAATCTGTTTCTTGGTATAAGATCATTGTAAACGTTATGTGGGAATTTCTAGGTGACAAGATAGTTAATAGGATATTAGCACATGCTTCTATCATCGCGTTATTGCCAGAAAATGTATCCTATGAAATAGATAAATTCATCTTACTTGGAGAGATACAACCAAAACTTTGCCTCCATTGGTCTTTACCATGATTTTTGTCCTGTTTATAGGATGGGCATCTCAGAATTTTGGAGTGGCCAAGCCAGCATATTCTCTTAGATGAACCTAAAGCTCATAAAGCTTTTCGAGATATGGATATCAGGTATGACATGACATCTCTTCTTTACTTTCTCTGAGTTTGTTGAATTAACAGATAGTTATTAAGTCTTTAATAATGCTAAAACGTAATGAGCGTTCTGATCTTTGCATGAAATGCTATTTCAGTTTCTTGGATGTTGAAATATTCAGTCAAATGAGTTTCCAGATCCCATTTGATTCAATTTTCAAATAAATGCATGAATCTTGCTTTTTTATAGACGAGTTAGGGTATGAATTTCTATACTATTTGGAGCCTCCATCGGCTTTAGTTCCTTGGAATAATTGTGTAACTAGCTGCAGGGCATATCATGTTGAATTTGATAACAAAAATCTTGGTTTGAAATTATATGTGCTTTAGATATGAAAAAGTGGAGAAGCATTAGTGCTGAAAAACTGTGTAAATACACATCTGAGAGCCACAATATATTCTTCACTTTAATAGCTGGAAGGAAAATTTTAGCTCATTCATGGGTTGAGTTTGAGTAATGCTCTACCATCAACTTCATATTGACCGTAAAGGCTAAAACAATGAATATTGCTGATGGATTGTTGATATTCAATGTGTTTTATCCTGTATTTTCTCTTCTGTTCTTGCATTCAATGTTTTGAATTAGACAATTAGTACTATCATCAAGGTTCAAATCCACTTTCAATTTTGAATTTTATAGAGAGCAATGAACTTCAACAGTTTCTTTTGTTGGTTTTACATGACTACAAACAAATGTAGAATCAGCATGGTAATAGTTATGCGATCTGAATGGAGCATTAACAACAGATAGTTGGAAAATTTTGACTTATGGGGCGATTGTTCTCTTAATTCTAGATCTAACATGGGCTGAATTTTTTCTGAGTGAGAGTCGTACTTGTGCAAAGAGCTTTGACAACTTTCCTTTTCCCTTTTGATCTGATGAATTCCAAAAGAGGAGAATTGGGAATCAGAACTTGAATTTTCCCCTCCACCCTGCAGACACAAGTAGGCTTCCGATCTATAGTGAACTCCCATCATTATCACTTCTTGCCATAATCCTTCTAGCCATTGCAATGGTGATTTTGTTTTTAGCTGTCATGGGAATGGCTTAATACGAGCAATATTTTACTTGATGAAGGACTGCTTTTCTTCTCTTCTCTATGCAGGGAAGGGTTTTTGTTTTTGATATTTCTGATCTTACACAAATAGTTGATAAAAAATGTATTACATACACATCGTAAATGATATAAATGGAGAGCTAGAGCAAGGAACCTCTAGACATTGCTTCAAATGCTGAATTATTTTCAACTTCAATTTTACGTTGTTTCTTAAAACAAAGATAATAATTAACAGAAGGGGGTAGGGAAGAGAAGCTTTTCATTTTCTGGCAATAATTCAGTACCTTCAAGAAGCAATTATTTGCAACTGAGAATATCATTGTCCAAATTTCTTCTCCTAGAAACTGTTCCAGCAACGAAAATGATCTCCTATTGTTTACTATGAGAAAGTCGCTATTCTTTGTCTTTTAGTCCTTTGTGAAGTCAATCCTGTGCACTACCTTTTCTTTAAAGAAAACCTTTTTGCAATGGCTGAAGGATTGGACAGAAATGCTTGGTTGAAAACTCATATTCCATCCTATTTCTTATCCTCCTTTCTCAAGTTCAGCCATTGTTACAATGTGCTCTTATGATTTATGACTTTTTTGTATTACGCTAATGTAATTACCTCTTCAGAATATTGACTCCTATTCTGCATTCCTTGAAGTCACCATTCTTATAAACAAAAATCCTTGCCATCATTTGTAAAGAGTTAACTATTATTTGTCCCATTGTGGCTTTCATTATTACTAATCATGTACTGGAGGGAAATGGTACTTGTCAGACTGAAGCTGAGGCTCAAGGGAAAAAGAAAATAAGGCTTTCTAAGAGTTTTGAGGCTGTGAATGATGGTCTCTTAAGTTGACCATCGAGCTTGCCTGATAGCGGGAAAAGTATATATTTAGTGGCAGCTTAGCCATAAAAGAAATTAAAAAGTAATATGCACATTTTATTTAAGATTTTATTCTCTGTCTGGTGCAACCATGGAAGTACAGGTTTGAATGTTTCTATAATTAAGATACAAAATTCAGTACATACATATATTTATTCAATGCATACATGCTAGCTCTCCTTTTTCAAATAACCATCTTCTTAATGTTAGGATTTATCCTTATCTAACTATATTATTTTCAATTTCTAATTCAGCCTAGACTCTGAATTCTTAGCATCAACATCTACCGATGGCTCTGCAAGAATTTGGAAGATAAATGATGGTGTTCCGTTAACCGCTTTGACAAGAAATGCGGTATCATAACTTCAGCTATTGCTTGGTTCTGTTTGTCTCACAATATTCACATTCGTCTTGTCTTAAATTATTATTAAATTATTCAAATATTTGCAGGATGAAAAGATTGAATGTTGTAGATTTTCTAGGGACGGGACTAAACCTTTCCTGTTTTGCACTCTCGAAAAAGGTATTGCCATGAAGTTCAGGCATTATGAAATGATTCTCTCTGATTTTACATATTCCAACTTTTAAAAATGTTGATTATTATGAAAACAGGTGGTAGAATGGTAATTGCTGTTTGGGATATCAGTGCATGGAGAAAAGTTGGGTACAAAAAGTTATTCAGAAAGGCTACTTCTGTGCTTTCTGTTAGCTTAGATGGAAAGTACCTTGGCCTGTAAGTACATGATGCTCTTTACTCTTTTTTATAACCTTATTTGATTCTGAGTTTTGGACAATTTTCCACTGCCAATAATCTCAAACCATTAACCACAAGCCTTTACCTAAGTGCATGTATTTGCTTTTTGATCCTCTTCTTTACCCCTCCATAAGTTATTCTCCATAAAAGCAGCTGCAGAGACAATGAAACCATCAAAGACATCCCAAAATGCATAGACTACCATATCATTCTTAATTGTTCCCTCTGTATTTGCTTATTCCTACATCGGCTTCTTGCTCCATTAGCTTGCAATTTATCACTCCTCCTTACCTGAAGATTTATTGGCCTCCTTTGCATGCTTTACCCGCCCCCAACCAAAAAAAAGAAGAAGAAGCAAACCAACCAAAACAACCAAACCCCTTCTCTTTTTTATCCTTTATAGGACAAGCTCTAACTTCCTCTGAATGCATTCATTTATTACTCTATCTCTCAGCATTCTCTTTTCTGGACTAATATCTTGAACATGTTGTTTATTCACTGTCTAATATTCTAGCATCTAAACATTGATGGTCTCATAGCCCTTTTCTAAATTTCTCATCTAACTTCATGTGCATGCCACTGTCACAGGGATCTTCTCAAATATTTCTCTATAAACCATCTTCTTCATTCTCAGCAATCTCATTATCTTGATGATTGATTGATCCTAATTAGCAAAAATGGTCAATTAAATGTATTTCTTGATCACCAATCTTGGGTATACATGCCTGTTCACACTTAGTAGCTTGATCTCCTTCTCTTCTTTCTCTCATATCTTGCAAGCTTATATATATTCTTCTCTCTCCTTTGACTATAATAGTCCTCAATAAATTTTAAGTGTAGCCCCAGTGACATTTTTTTTGCTTTCTTCTTTGCTAATTTAAATGTCTTAAAAGTTTCCCCATTTTGAAAAGTTCCCCCATTTTGCTTTTTCGAAATCTTTATAAGATGACATCTTCACTCTATAATTACCCTTCACACTTCTTTGTTTACTAACCCACTATTGTGGGAACTCAATTACACGGATTTCTCTAGCTTCCTTGATGCTCTTACACATTGTTCCACAGATTAGTAGTCTCACTGTCATCTGGACTGTCCTTTTTTATCAATTATCATTTTAGCCTTAATATGCATCAAATTCTCTTCTTAAAATCCAATATAATTCTCAGTCTTATATTCTAATGAATAATTTTCTTACCCGTGCACAAGCTTAATCCTATTTAGCTCCAAATTCAAGGGTCAACATAGCAAGGGGGGAGCCCTAATCTGCACTTGCTTGTCATTGTACTGTGGTGGGATCGAGGCAATGCATTGCTATAATAGAACATCATAGGAATCTGCACTTGCCTACGTATCATTCATTGACATGACAGCTTGTGGTGGGGACAGCCTTCAGAATGTCAAGGATCTGGCTACTCTGACTGTTGAATGCAATAGCTTGCCTGCACATTGGATCGGAGTAGACAGTGAAAGAATAAGACATTAAGCATCATGTCTGGGTGGGAATGGTGCAATGCATCACTATGAAAGAATGCCATAACAAATGGCCAATTTCCTAGTTATCATTGCATGGGTTGACATCTATTCAACGTGATGCATGGCGTCATCCTGAGGATTGGTCAATGATCTGTCTTAGTTTTAAGTTGTTGGGTATTGGCTAGCTAATGTAGTGCTCTTCCTTTATCCTGGTTTGGGATATAAAATGAAAGAATAGGCATGAGGCAATACTACGTGGAGATTCTATAGACTGGCTATTTAATAGTGTAAAAATTATCTATTAGTTTTGCCTTTTCTATAAATTCTAGTCCCTGTCCATGTTACTGCTTTTCTGATCTGCCACAATTGAAGTCACTACATTTGGTGGTCTATCATCAGTTTATCTTCCTGTGGTGTAACCCAATATATCCATAAGTAAGCACCCGTTCGTGACCCTATCAATCTATCTCATTTTCCAATGCTTCTGTTAGATTTGTTCGAGTTTGGCTGTCCAGTAAAGACAACCTTTCCACTATAGAGTCAAGTAAGTTAACCCAAATAGGACCCTGAATTCATTTTTTCAGCATTATCATCTAGTTGAGAATTTTACTTTTCATTATTGATCTCTTCTTCTTTGGAATTGTAACGATATGTAATATCTGCTATCTTATTCCAGAGGTAGCACTGATGGTGATATGTGTGTAGTGGAGATAAAGAAGATGGAGGTTAGTCACTGGAGTAAGAAGCTCCACCTTGGTGCATGCATATCCGCAATCGAGTTTTGCCCATCAGAGAGGTAAGACACATGAACATGCTTCAAGATGGATTTGATGAGTTCATATAGTTTTGCCTTCTCCTTTTCTTTTCTTTGTTGTATTAGCAGTAGACTCCTTGAGTTTTTCACCATACAATGAGGTAGCTCTCATTTAATGTTGCTGTGAGTGCAATTAATGCCATTTATTATATTGTTGTCATTATCATGTTATTCTAGTTTCTTGTTATGTCTGGGAGTTAAGATTCATAATGCTTTGTCAGAATAACATATTCTTGAATCCTTTGATAAGCTTGATATTTGATGAAGCTTGTTTATTAACCTTTTGCAACGTTTGAGATTTTTCTTATTTAAAGAATCTATTAAGGCACCCCATTAAGTTTGTATTGCAATGCAAATCACAAAATGCAAAAATGGGTAATTTGCATTTTCCCCGTCAAACTAGGGTCAACTATGAAGCAAAACTTGAAGTTAAAGCTCCATAGAAGGCTGATCATTTCTTTCTGACTGTTAGGATACCTTTGCTCTCTGATTACTGAATGTTTCTTGGCCAGGGCTCCTTTGGAAGCAGGAGCACCTTCCAGATTCCCAATAAGACCAGAAATAGGTTATATTAATGGGGAAGATGATAATCTTTGTTATACTGAATCATTAATCACATTAATATATGAATTGTTAAGTAAATGATCACAACTTAAACCAGCATGTTTGTGTTGAAGTCAACCTTGCCCATTGTTATAGAAAGGGTTTTACCGATTAGTATAGGTTTACATATAAATTTGAACTTCGGGCATTAGGGATGCATTGGTTCTGAATGATGATTATAATTCCTTGGTAGATCTGTTTGATGTTGAAATATAGTTACCAGATACCTGTGCACCAAAGAGTTCCTGCATTTTTGGATTTTCTATTGGAATTTGAACATGAAGATTATTTATGAAAAATAGCTGTAGACTAGTATAGAACAAAGTTCATGCGCTCAAACCACATTTGTTGATACCTCTTTCCGTTTCATTTCTGATACCCCATCAAGAAAACATGTTAAATTTAGAGAAACACCAAACCTTGACATAGGGTGTAGAAAAAATGCTTTGTAGTCTGCTGGACTTGTAATTTCATGGAGTGATTTACTTCTTTTATATGATTCCATATTGGTGACAAAACTCTTTAAGGCATTGATTATTAATTCCACAGATACACAGTTATACACTTGTTATCATATTAGTGTGTTGTAAGAATCACACAAACACTCAGTTGAGTACTATAAATTCATTATCTCAACACTACGCGTAGTTCTATTTTCCTATCTCAATGCTAAAGTATGGAAGTATCTATGTCTGTTCGAATCTTCATGTTTTTGGTAATAATGCAGGGTTGTGATTTCCCTTTCCCGTCAATGGGGAGCGATGGTCACAAAACTGAACGTCCCTGCTGATTGGAAAGGTTTTATTTCTACTCATACTATGTTAGATCTTCAACTTATTATGAGATGCTAATCTTGCCCTAACCTCTTTTTTTGTAGAGTGGCAAATATATTTGCTTCTTTTGTGTCTATTCTTGGCCTCGGCTGTCGCGTTTTATATGTTTTATGAGAATTCAGACTCATTCTGGAATTTCCCACTTGGGAAAGATCAACCAGCAAGGCCATTTCTGAAAGCACTAGTCACTGAGTCTCAGTTTGCAGATGATCAAAGCCCATGGTGAGAGGATATCATTTGGTCTTTTTAAGTTAATACTGTGGTTCTAACGATCTTCAATTCTTTTTAAAAGGCATTATCACTGTTGTTAACTTAAAAATTGGACGATGTAACATCTGATTGCTAGATAGTTGAGGACCTTGTAATTGTTCGAAGCAATTTTTGAATTTGGTTTTATTTCTTGCTATACTTGTATCTTCAATATTTCAGCATCAAATGTATAGTACACTTGCTCACATTGGAATATCATGTACTCGTTTTTCACATAATATCATTTTTGCAAGCTAGTATGGTATCTCGACTGAAAGCTTTTAAGAAACATTTGTAATTCAAAGATGATGGAAAAACCAAAATCCCTCCCAAATTCAGGTGGGATTTTTAATTCGCTTGCTTTGGTAATGTATTAGCATTATATGAAAGGTTACGTTTTGAGCAAGCTTTCCTTGTGGTTATTTTCATTAACATGGATGCTGCCAAGAAATTTACTAGCTTCGTATATCGGAAAACACAAGCCATGAGAGAGGGTTTGGGATACATAAATAATGTTGGATGGTGAGACTTGGTTGGTGAACTACCAAAAGAATTATGTCTATTGTTTTTTTCCATACGAATTATGTTGGTATAAAGAGAAGGATAAATTTTCAAAATAGACCACATTACGAATTTATTTTTAGAAGAAAACCCATTTGAAATTTAATTGCCATTTTCGATTCAGTTTCAGCCTGGTGGCTGAAACTAGGTAGAAAATGGCAAATAAAGTTTAAAAACCTCACTGGATTTAAAATTCCATGAAGTTTAGTGTCCGATTAGCGATGCTAATGACAAAGTCACCCAAACTTCACGGGAGTTGAAATCACATGAAGTTTGAGCACAACTTCACGGGATTTCAACTCTTGTGAAGTTGCCAAATGAGCTTGGAACTTCATGGGATTTTAAATCCCGTGAAATCTGCGTAGGCCCTACTCATCCACTTCGTTATATCTCTCCCCTCTCACATGAACTCATTTCCCATTCTCTCTCTCTCTCTCTCTGCTCATTTACCGCAAACTCTAGATCCTCTCCCGCTATCGCCGGCTATCTCCGCTTCCGCCGTCGCCATCGACAACCTTTTTTAGGGCTGTAAAGCGTTGGAGTTTGCTGGAGCCTGCCTGATTTTAAATTTAGGGTATCGACAAATTTTTGGTAAAATCTTTAAACTTTTTTTATTTTTTTCTCCTAAACTTTATCTAATAACTTGTTTAAGTTAGGTTTTGAAATAATTTTAAAATATTTATGAATTTTGTGAAGAAAAAAAAATAAAGAAATTTGTATATGAAGTTAGAGGGGAAATTAGGGGAAATTGTAAAAATTCGTGTATTATTTTTCAATTTTTAAGAGTGAATATTGTTTGAATTATTTAAATTAGAGAATCGTAAAAATATAAAGGTTTGACCTATGGTAAAAATTATGGATGTGCAAAATCGACATTAGGGGATTTAATTGTAAATAATATTTTCTGTGTTTTTCGTGTAATATTGATATCTGAATTTTTTACTGTTCAGAGGTAATGAAGAACGATCGAATCGTAATTCTTTGTTCGCATGATGGGAATATTAACTATCTCGAGAATAATATGCCTGTATATGAAGGAGGTGTGACGAAACTGTTGTTTATATCCAAATTATGTAGTTTCGATGGATTGGTTAATGACTTACACAAACTTACATTAACCAATCCATGTGAGTATCATCTCAACGTGATTTGCAATTATCCCGTTACAGGGAATAAAATAAGCGGCATTCAAATCTCAAGTACGATATGGATCTCATTGGAATATTGGATGACGAAAGCACTCGGTGGAATTATTTATTGAAAAACATCACAAAAATTTGGGCAAAGCGGTGAATCACGATAGAGTATACTCTCACATGTTGAAAGACCTTGAAGTTAACTCCACCGGTTTTTTGGTCTTCACAACAGAATATGGGATGGACACTTCACAATACTTGAGCGGTCCTTCGCTTGTGGGGACTCCAAGTGTCTTCGACGATAACGCTCCTCATCAAGATATAAGGCCTTCCATAGGAGTGATGATAGAAGATGATAATGCAAATGTCGAATCTAAGGATGATGACAAAGAGGATGACTTACAAATTAATAGCATGATGTGTTTGATAGATCGTGATGAAGGGAACAACCAATTAATTAATCGATGTTATTCTAACAATGAGTATGTCATATTAGAAGATCCGCCGCCCAATGAACTTCATGGAGATAGATGGATTGATGACTCCACAATGAAAATATTCCCATTGGCACTAATTTAAATGATAATACACATGACGACGACTTCTTATTCAAAAGAGTGATATATTTAAAAGCAAGGAGAAATTGATTCATCACTTCGTTTGTGGGCCATTAAAAAATGTCAAGTTTAGGCAGATGAAAAGTAATGCAACAAGCTATAATGTAGTTTGTTTTTACCGCAAAGATAGTGAGGAAAAAGATATTGGTGGTCGACGGAAATACAAAGTGTTCTTGAAAGCTTAATTCACACTTGGGGGTAATAGTAGACAGACAATTTAAAATAGCACACTACAACGGATTTCAAACATGTAGTAATCCTCGATTAGAGATGAATCATAAACACGTGTCTGCCTCTTTCATATATCGATTGATTATGTCTAAACTAAGGATGATCTTGATCCAAGGTCAAATGATATTCGTATTTTAGTGCACAAAACGACCAACTTGGATGTGTCATACAACAAGTGTTTGAATGCTTGGAGGAAGGTGATGATAAAAAAAATTCGGAGATTAGAACAAAACTTATGATATCTTACCACATTATCTTGAAGCACCAAAAAAAAAAAAAAATTCGGGGACAATGTATGAAGTATCATCGGATCATGTTGATAGTGGAGATAGATGATTCACATGGGTATTTTGGGCATTTAGCTCTTGCATCGAGGGATTCAAATATTGTCATCCTATTCTTAGTATTTTGGGAATTCGTTCTTAGTATTTTGGGAATTCGTTCTCATATATTCTTTATACCAAATATGTATAATGTGAGGTACTCTAAATACAAAATTACGACTAGACATATATAGTTTTATGGAAATGAGCTTAATGACCTTCAACACCAACAAGTAAATATAAAACTCAATCCATTATTTATATTTTAATTTTTCTGTAGATGCTGATACAAGTTTCTTTTAATTTCAATTCAAGTGGACGCCCTATTCTCCGCTAGATCTCGATATGTATACCCCTGCACCTATTTGTAGAGATAGTGCTGCTTTGTGAAGAGCTAGAGTCCCGTTGATATGTCAGAAGATTGTAGAGATGCATGTCTAGATCGTGTGCTACGGTAATTTTTTCTTTCTCAGCATGTGTTAGATCCTGTTGAGCAAATCGATCGCAAGCATCAGATGACATCACATCATACAGACTAGGCCATATTCCATGCAGCCTACATAGACAGGTAGAATAATATGTGGAATTTCATACAGAATGATAGAATTCTAGCAGATGGTTATACCGCGTATATGTATTGGTATTGGAATATCACATACAAATGGATAGGACGCGACACACAACCAGCAGCTAGATACATACCATGCCCACCGACAAATAGTTACATCCCTAGTTCCATAATCAAGAGGGATTATGTAAGTTTTTAAATTAAATTAAAATGAAAATTCTTTTTTTGTGATAATATTATTTGCTAAGCTGTGCATATATTGATTAAATTGTAGATCTATGCTTTTGATGAGATTGAGGTTGATATGAATGAGCATATTAATGAGATTTAGGATCCAACAGTGTTAGGGATCTTCAATAGGATCAGACAGAGAATAGTAAACATGTTCCATAAAAATCACATCAACGAGTTTGAAGGACACGAGGACAGGTCACGCTGATTTGGTAAAGTGTACGCACGAAGACGGATAGATCAAAGGGCGGCACATGATGATGGAGCTAGCACTTCTCATAGTGTGGCGCGTGATGATAGAGCCGACACTTCTTAACCTCATACATAACCAGATACTCAGATCATTGAGGCTCATCCGCATGGAAAGCGGGGCGGGGAGAGGGGGAAGAGTGATGGGAAGGGGGTAAGATAGGGAGAGGAAGGAGGGGAGGATTTTTAGGATGTATGTGAAATTTACAATGTGATTATGAATTTCAAGACTATATATGGTTAGATTGTGCAAATTTATTGCTTGTGTGAATCGATTTTTGTTTATATATGTGATTTTCATGTGTATTGTTTTGATTTATGGCTGGACTTTTATGTATATTTTTGTAATTCAACATATATGCGGTAAATTTGATGTTTATGGTTGGATTTTCATGTATACTGTTGTGAATGAGACGGAAATTTTATTATATACAACATATTTTGGATTAGGTGGAACAAGCGCTTGGATTAGGTGGAACATGCACACAGTCTATGCATGTTTGTGCATGAACTACAACTTCATAGGATTTGAAGTTGTAGGCTCATTTCGCAGAGAGCTCACTTCGAGCTCTCTGGTAGTTGGTCCCTGCAACTTCACAGGAGTTGAAATCCCTTGAAATTACACCAAACTTCATGTGATTTCAACTCCCATGAAGTTTGTGTGACTTTTTCATTTGCGTCGCTAACTAGATACTAAACTTCATGTGATTTTAAATCCCGTGAAATTTTCACACTTTATTTGCCATTTTCGATCCAGTTTTAGCTACCTTGTTGAAATTGGGCTGAAAATGGCAATTTAATTTCAATGGGTCATTTTTAAAAAATAAATTCCTAATAGGGTCTATTTTAAAAAATTGTCCTAAAGAGAATAATGTGTCTACATCTTTTGCCTAATAGACTATAATAAAGTAAAATTCTACTTTCATGCTTACAGCCACAGGGGATTTCAGGAGAAGTTTAAATATCTATTGACTCCATACAAATTAGAATAGAATCACGTGCACATAACATACGCCCCACATCTTTTTCTTCAAATTAATATGAAAATTGTGTCAAGACCCCAAAAGTAATAACCTCATGTGACCTAACCCCTCCACTTTTTTCCATTGTGGTTCCGCCCTAAAAAGTTTCACATCATGTGATTCAGCCATTTACTCTATGTCAACAAAGCACACACACACACACACACACACACACACACACACACACAGAGAGAGAGAGAGAGAGAGAGAGAGAGAGAAACTCTCCCCCCCCCCCCCTTTCTCCTCTCCTCTCCTCTCCTCCTCTCTCCTAACTCATTTCCTTCCTCCTCTCTCTCTTTCTCCTTCTTCTCTCAGACAC